AGACGTTTCACCTCTCATCCGAGAAGCTTCTTCAGTTCTAAGGTCAAATGGTGGAGAGTCCCAGATTTAAACCCAGTGGGAGTTTCCCCCCACAGAGGGACAAATGGACCCCCTGATGATCCTCTAATCGCCTGAGCGATCACTACAAACACATAACTAGCATAACTTTTGGTGTGTTATTTGGTAAGCCAGATAGTATTTGTTTGTAACTGTACTGTTACAGTTTTCACTCACTGACTGAATACATTTTAGTGTTTAAACCATTGCAAACTATCAATTCTACTTTGAACAAGCGCAATTATTTTGGATTTGCGTGACCAGACAAGTTTATATATATCTGCTTTACTGCAGATATAAATTAAAACTTCACTCATTGTTGAAAATTGAGTACAGTGCTTAGCTCCACAGTTTACTCAGTACTATATGATTTGCCCTCAGTACATTTGCAGTGTGCCCCCAGTATCCCTTCTCCTAGTCTTCCTGTGTACAGAGGGCAGGCATACTTTCTATAGGGCCCCTAAACTTCATGCCAGTGCTGGTCACCCACTCTATGGGCAGTCCACTGTGGGCCAAGGTGGACAATGCTTGTGTTAAGATGTGTATGTGTGTGTCTGCTGAGCTAACATTAAAATGCATTAAGGGTCTTTCAGTTGAGAAATGACCCATTTCCAAATGTATCAGAATCTTGTAACACTGCTCAATTGACTACATGCCAGCATGTTATTGCCTGCACGATTTGTCAGTGTAGCTCAGTGGGTACAGTTAATGACTTGTGATCTAAAGGGAGGTCTCATAGCTCTTGCTCTGGTTCACACCATGAATATCTGTTTCCTTGGTTTGTCTCTGACTTCACCTCTGTCTGCATGTCTCTCCTTATTTCATGCCAATATTTGATCCCCCGCTCCTCTTATACTTTGACTTTAGAGCTTTCTAACACCTCTACCTTTTCTCTATACCTCTATACTTTTGACCATATCACTAGGGAAAAAAGCCAATTGCAGTCATTTTTGGCTGCAGTATCTGACAAAAGGGTGGGTGAAATGGCTGGCGTGAGATGCTTATACAGGTTGTGATGTTGATCTCAGCCTGCTGTAATGGCACCGGGCCATTAACCCTCCCTGTCATTTGCAATGACATGTGCTTTTGAACAAGGAAAATAGCTCTGCCCATATAACTTATACAGCAGACTCTCAACTCCCACAGCCAGCCTGTGGCTTAGTGCCATGTCATTTTCCCTGTCCAGACTATCATCATCACTGCAGTTAGATTGTACCTAAGAGGCTCCTGCAGTCTTTGATGTCCATTCATTTTCCAATTCTATTCACTATTATAACAATGTACAGTCTTTTATTATAATTCATGTAAATGTCAGTTTCTCTACTATAACACACTTTAATGATATATCATGACTTACTTAATTCAACTTTGATGTGACAGTTCTTTAAATTCTTTATATTTGTTTGTTGATCTCATTTTGACAGGTCAGCTTGGTCTCAAAAAAGTCCTACTGATAATAAAGAATTTTTAAACAGTTTCTCCATGTTAAGTCCATAACCAGCCATTTTCCAAAGTCCAACTGATGAATCCTTTGTATTCCTATTAACGGTATATTCTGGTTGTCACCAACAATAGTCTTGTCAACCAAACCAATTCAGATCAGGCACTGGTTGCTCTTTTTCATGAAATCTGAAGAATGTGGCATTCTACCAGCCAGTCGTAGGGGGCATCTTCAGGCCATTGTTGCTTGTCATTTGTCCCGTGGCTCTGGTTGTGTTGGCATATATTACAACATAGAAGCGGGGAAAAAACAAACCCGTTCCAGTACCTCAGGTGCCACAGTTCTACAGTGAGGTAATGAGAAAATCCAACCCACTGGACAGACAGACTCTTGTGGAAATGTTAAAACCTAGATTTTGTTTTGGTTTTTGTTTCATTGCTGTCATTCCTGCTGTTACAATGTTGTCTGCTGCATGCTTCACTGAGCTAAGAAGTGTGTGCTCATATTATGTTTTGTTTTTTTTCTAAAGCCACACAGGTCAGCCCCTCAGAACTGCAAGATGTGTTTCAGGAGACCTCCTCCAATATCTTCCAGATCAACGCCAACGGTAAAACGAGTGTCTGTGTGCTTTATTTTAAAAACTACTGAATAAGTATATTTTTAGTAGTGCTCTGTTATGAATTCTACCATTAGTCTGTGTCTATGTCTGAACACAGATCAGGCCACACTAGTTTTGTGAGATTAGGGTTAAATGTATTGCTTCGATCAAATTAACAGTGACAACATTTTACGATTAAGATGAGATAAAATTAGATTAGAGGTTAGGATTACAATGAGGACTATATTAGGGTTAAATTGTAACATTTAAAACGGGCATGGCTTAAATTTGGAATTGGGGTCATTGGTTTTTAAAATTAGAGTAGGTTTGTGGATAAAAATCCAATTTAAGATTATTAAATGTGTCTTGGAATACTGATAGGATCAAAACTTTACAGAGTAGTTTTGGAAATTGAAATTAACTTCAATTTCTTCTGAAACTCTTTATTTCAGAGCTATGTTTGAATTCATGGTTGAAATAAGTTTCATGTTTACTTTGGCATTAATTCTGGATTTAAGATCAGGGCCGTCACTGGGGTGATCATGGCTCAAGAGTTGGCACTTCATCTTGTAATCGCAAGGTTGCCGGTTCGAGCCCCGGCTCTGACAGTCTCGGTCGTTGTGTCCTTGGGTAAGGCACGTCACCCGTTGCCTACTGGTCAGAGGCGCCCCAGTGGCGCCCGTGTCTGGCAGCCTCGCCTCTGTCAGTGCGCCCCAGGGCAGCTGTGGCTACAGCTTTGGGGTCCTTAGGAACTAAGTAAAGCGCTATACAAATACAGGCCATTTACCATTTCACTATTTATTAGATGTGAACTGAAATATGAAAATGCTGCATCTGGTATAAAAGTTATAGCTTGGTTTCCATTTAATGCCGTATCGTATTGATAATATTTTTGGGGTTAATTTAATGCTAAGTTTAGTCTGAGGTTATTTAAAGATTATAACTAACAACAGATTTATATTTGAGTTAAGGCAAATTTATATTTTGGTTTTAGGTTTGAGTTTTAAAAGTGGTACTTTTAAAAACAGGGACGAAAGATTAGTAGCTGGGTTTTATTTCGACCTAATTTACACATCAAGTTAAACATTTTATGGGTTTAATTTAGAATTGAGGTCAGATCAAGTAGGAATAATATCCTGAAAAATTCAATAATGCTTAAGTAGTTTAATCAGTTTAAATTCTGTTAATTTGAAGATAAAATCTTAATTTGGTTTGGTCAGATTTAAAGTTGAGTTAAGGGTATTTAAAAATACAGCTAAGTGTGGAAACAGTGTGAGAGTTGAAGTGAACTACTTTTGCGTAGGATTGGGATCATCTTGATAAGACATTTTATCTTAACAGAGACTTAACAGGGACAGAATAGATGTTGAAATGATTCAAATTTCAGCAAAGTGTTTCTTTCAAATCAAGTGTGAAAGAATATTTGTGAGGCCTGAATACAGCTCTTAACATTTATATCATCCATTTGTTCCTCCAGTGGTCACACTAGAGAAAAATCTTCAGTCACTGGGAACGTCTAGAGATACCGCAGAGCTCCGACAGAGTCTGTGAGTAGCACTCACGCCATATAAAACCACATACTTTGATTCTACATACTTGCTGGTCCACTTCAGTGTAAGAGTTACATTTATCTCCGCTGTCCAGAAAAGTGCTTATTTTCTTTTTGTTTCACCACCCTCTTATGTATTGATTGTTCTTTTTTAGTTGAGCTGCCAGCAATTACCAGATTCAACACTGATGACAAAGTGTCCAATCTAAGATGATTGCATCTGTTTAAAATGCATTACATCCCACTGTGATTGCTGGCATGTCATCAATTCTATTGAACACTTTTTTATGATCGCCTTGGAGACTTACTGACAATGCTTGGCTGCTTTTATTTTCAACTTCCCATTTTCCTTCCACGGTATTGATGCAGTGCCTCCGACTGATGCAAATTGCATCCAGTATGGTGGTTTGTGTTATTCAGTTCTCACTGTTTGTTCAAGAGGCTTTGTAGTTTGTCAGAAATGTAACTTTTAGAGCTCATTAACTAGATGCTTCTGTTTTGATTGGCATATTTTGTAGATGCGAGAGTGATAAAGTTAGGCGTGATGAAAGTGATTCATTTAGCATATTATGGGCACATTCACAAAGAGCATGCTTAATGACATTATGGTTTTGGTTAATGCTTTTACCTCGCCAGTCTGCTGATTCTAAAGTTTTCTGCCACTGCAAGGGGTAAAGGCTTTAATTAGCAATTATCCGGTGAAAACGAACAACATACCTCTTGACCTCTTTGTGACCACACTGTTGCTTTATTTTTTCGCAACTTTTATATTCTACATAACTAATAAACAAAAAAAGCGCTTTACTTTGACATTTAACAATAAGAACATCTTTTGTACATTTATTACACAAAGCAGGCACCATGTGGAACATTCTTGACGAGGGGCTATTGACTGACCTGTTATTTTTGTTGTAAATGCCTATTGAACTGTTGTTTTCCTCCTGGGATTCTATTGACTGATGCATTTTAAATAAAGCCAGTACTTGTAAGGTTAGCATGAAAGTGTTGATCTGAAAAAAGCAAAAACCAAGAACATGGCTCAAATGTCAGCCATTTCTCCATTTTTAATAACACACAATGTTGAAGAACTGAGTATGTTGTACTGCAGTATGTGGTCAGGAGCCTTTCAAACAACAAGCCTAATCTGAACATAAAGTTTTTTTGTGAAAGGCATTAGGTACTGCAGCTATAAAATATAGTTAAAGGGAAGTTAAAAATGCTGGAAGAAAGTAAAATTATAATTTTACTTTCAACTAATTCTAGTAATGACCACACATTAACCAAAGAAAACTGGGCTATGTACGGATTCAGTGACTTCTTCAGGATGAAAAAAGTACAGTGTAGGATTTATATTGGAAAGTGTCTATAGGGGAGAGTAGTGCAGCACATAAAAATCTCACACAAGATCAGCACTAACAGAAAAACAATTTAGAAAGCTGCTTGCATCGAGAAAGTAAATGGATGAAGATGTGGATCCAACTTTATAGTTACAGGAGGATAAGGACAATGGAAAGCCAATCAAACATCTTTAAAGCTACACAATTTGCTCAAAACTTAGCCTAGCAACATATAAACTCAAAAAACAGCACAAATTAAGTTTGCTGCCGTTGTGGTATGTAGTCTTTATCCTGTTGTGAGAGTGATTTTCAGGTGAAACTGGCCTTACATCAGCCACAGAAAATGCACTTAGAAGTATCTCTAGAAATCTACTAGAAATCTTTCTCACTCTGGAAAAATATCAAAAGTTGATGCCCACAAGTTACCTCATGCAGCTTTGTTGCCTAAAACCAAACCCCAATGTTTTATATGAACATGCTTTTTGCTGACTCATCAAAACCATAAAGAGTAAATAGAGAGTAAATAATTCAATTCAATTCAATTCAATTTTATTTACATAGCGCCAAATCACAACAAAAGTCGCCTCAAGGCGCTTCATAGATACAGAGAAAAACCCAACAATCATATGACCCCCTATGAGCA